TGCCTGACATGCAGGAGGCATGCCAATAAATATTAATTATTATCATTATCTCCACCATTTTTTTTTTTGAGACAGAGTCTTGCTCTGTCACCCAGGCTGGAGTGCAGTAGTGCTGTCATGGCTCACTGCAACCTCCACCTCCCGAGTTCAACCGATTGTCCTCCTACAGCCTCCCGAGTAGCTGGGATTACAGGCGTGTGCCACCACGCCCAGCTATTTTTTTATATTTTTAGTAGAGATGGAGTTTCACCATGTTGGCCAGGCTGGTTTCCTGACCTCAAGAGATCCTCCTGCCTCTGCCTCCCAAAGTGGTGGGATTACAGGCGTGGGCCACTGTGCCCGGCCCTACATCCTTCCTTACTAACCAAACTGTGCCTGCTCTTTGTGGAAACAGACTGTGCACCCGGGTGTCTCGGTGGGGCTCAGAGAGAGCGTGGCTCCAGCTGGGGCTGGCAGTCACCTGTGCTCAGGAGGGACCAGGGGACCAGTCTGGCAGACTTGAGCAGGAGACCAAAGGAATCTGGAACCCTTGATCAGATCAAGGTGGGTCTTACTCTTAGGTCCAGTGTTTGTCACAACATAACACAGGGCTGTGGCAGTGGGAGAGTGAGGATCATCGGGTCAGAGCATTTGGGCCTGTTGCCCTCCTTAGAGAAGTCACTTGTGCAATTCTGTGAGTTCCTTTAGAACTGTGATGTTGGATGTGGGGACTTCTCAAAGTCGCCAGAATAAAATGTACAATGTGGGTAGTGACTGAGAGCTGGCTGTTGGAGTTGCTGATCAACTTTTCCCCTACATTTTGCAGGGCTGGGGGGACACAATTAGGTGTTCATTTAAAGGCTGGGTGGAGAAGCAGCAGGGTGATTGCACGGCTGGAAGGATGGGTGGGTGTGAGAGAAGGTGGATGGATGGATGGTGGCGATGAGAATGGATGGCTGAATCAGGCCAATGAACAGACGATGCTTGGCTGTCGGCAGGACAGTGAGTGGACAGGGTGGTTAGACGGAGGGGGAGGTATCTTTCCCTGCTCACTGCTTGTCGTCCTTTGCTTTCAGCTTCGGGCCGCAGAGGTGGAGATCAAGGACCTGCAGTCCGAGTTTCAGCTGGAGAAGATCGATTACTTGGCCACCATCCGCCGGCAGGAGCGCGACTCCATGCTCTTGCAGCAGCTGCTGGAGCAGGTGCAGCCCCTGATTCGCAGGGACTGTAACTACAGCAACCTTGAGAAGATTCGGCATGAGTCCTGCTGGGATGAAGATAACGGCTTCTGGAAGATCCCACAGCCCGCCATCATCAAAACCAGCCTCCCAGTAGGTCAGGAGCTTGGCTGGCCCTTGCCCTCCCCACCCTCCTTCACAGTTCACCATCCTGCAGACTGGCAGGGAGCGTGGGCCTCTCCTTGCAGTCTGTGGGTATAGCAGACACGTGACTCTGGGTAGCTGACACATCAGGACTCCGAGAAAGCAGTGTGTTCTGGAGGCAGACAGATGTGGGTTGGAATTCTGGCAGCACCGTTTCCTATGTGACCTTTTTGGGACTTGGTGTCCTCATCCATGAAATGGGGGTGAATAACAGCACCTCTCTTAAAGTTGCTGTGAGGCTTGGAATGTGTTAATAGACCAGGTGCAGTGGCTCATGCCTGTAATCACTTTGGGAGGCTGAAGCTGGTGGATCACTTGAATCCAGGAGTTTGAGACCAGCCTGGCCAACATGGTGAAACCCTGTTTTTAAAAAAGAATACAAAAATTAGCCAGACGTCTAACGTGGTGAAACCCAGTCTCTACTAAAAATATAGAAATTAGCCGGGCGTGGTGGTGGGCGCCTGTAATCCCAATCACTTGGGAAGCTGAGGCAGAAGAATCGCTTGAAGCCGGGAGGCGGAGGTTACAGTGAGCCCAGATTGTGCCATTGCACTCCAGCCTGGGCAACAGAGTGAGACTCTGTCTCAAAAATTAGACAGGCATGGTGGTGCATACCTGTAGTCCCAGCTACTTGGGGGACTGAGGCCGGAGGATTGCTTGAGCTCAGGAAGTCAGGGCTGCAGTGAGCAAAGATCGTGCCCCTGCACTCCAGCTTGGGTGACAAAGTGAGACCCTGTCTCAAAACAAATAACCACCCCCCCAAAACCCAGAAATGTATTAATACACATAAAACCCTTAGAGCAGTGCCTGGCACATAGTGCGTGCTTGCTATGTTGGCATTACCCTAATCAGCATGGTCACTGCTTCATCCATACAACAGCCCTGAGAAGGACTGTTGTAAGGTTTTCTACCCATTTCACATATGAGGACGCAATCTCAGAGGGTCCAGAGTCACGGTCACAGCAGTGAGTGGGAGGACCATTGGTCGAAACCCACAGTTCAGAGTTTTATGCCTGGTTCAACTTCCACTCTTTCTGCTGACCTCCTGTGTGACCTTACAAAGATCACTGTCCCTCTCTGGGCTTCTTTACAAAGAATGGGTTGGATAAGATGACCCTGAAGGCCTTCTCACTTCTGATGAGTCTCAGAGTAAAGCCAGGCATGCTGTGGCTTTCTCTAGCCACGGAGCTGGCTCTGCCCATGTGGGGAGCCCACAGTGCCAGCCAGGAGTCCTCCCTCTTGGTCAGAGTGTTCATCCAGGTCCAAAATCTTGGATGTTTATAGATGGCATTGACACCCTCCCTGCTGAGACCCCAGCCTGCTCCATTTCCCATATGCTCTGGGATGTAGCAGCCTTCCTGTCTGTCTCCACCCTTGCCACAGGCTTCCAAGCCCCTCGCCTGCTGTCTTGCCTGGAGGCTTCTCCGGTATCTGAGCCCGTCTTGCTGTTTCTTAAAATCCTCCCTTGGCTTGGGCTGGGAAGTGTCCTCCCTGTTGAAGCCTGAGCCAGGCCTGACCCCCACCTCCACCCGTGCCCTCTTCTGGGCCTCGCACCAGGCAGCAGTGACTTCAGCTTTTGTTTTCTCATAGCAGTTTCAACTGGGCCACAGAATAAACCAGCCCACAAAACCTCTGCAGCAGACAACAGCGAGCAGAACATGGTGAGGACCCTGGGAGAGGGAGTGGGGCGTTGGGGATGGGAGGGCTTTGCCTGCAGTGCCATGGGTCAGCACTACTGCAGAGAGCTGGTTTTCTACTTTCCTTCCACTTAAGGATTAAAGAAGGGGCCAAGGCTGGATCCTTTTCACGTCCCTCCATTGGCACCTAGACCCTCAACCCCCTCTGGCCCTGATTCAAAGGCACTCACAGTCATAAAGACCGTTCCGGGTGGCCCATCTTGCCAGTGAAGGACAGAGGCTTCAGCCTCAAACCCAGAGGAGAAGCAGCACATTCCGGTTTCCTGGGCCCCAGCTGGTATCCTCAGACCAAAAGGGTCCTCAGAGGGTTCATGAAGCAGTAATTGAGATTCCTGTCACTTTATTTTTCTCTCTCTCATATTCTTTTTTTTTCTTTTTCTAAGCGCAGTGGCAAGAACCTGTCTCCTATATTTTGTGGTGCAACAGAAATGCATCTTATTAAAGCAGGGGTGTTTTCTTTTTTATTTTTGGAGACAGGGTTTCACTTCATCACCCAGTCTGGAGTGCAGTGGCATGATCTTGGCTCACTGCAACCTTCACCTCCTGGGTTCAAGTGGTTCTCGTGCCTCAGCCTTCTGAGTAGCTGAGATTACAGGCACCCACCTCCATGCCTGACTAATTTCTGTATTTTTAGTAGAAAAAGGGTTTTACTACATTGGCCAGGCTGGTCTCAAACTCCTGGCCTCATGATCTGCCTGCCTTGGACTCCCCAAGTATTGGGATTATAGGCATGAGCCACTGTGCCTGGCCAAGCAGAGGTATTTTCAGGGAAACTCTTCAAGTTTGTTAACTTAGCTGGGAGCTGCTGTCCCCAGCAGCCACAAAAGGTTTAGACAGAAGGGCACCAGCAGGGGTCCACTTGGCATGGCCTGGTCATCAAGGGCTGGATTGCAGGCACAGCTTCCACGACACAAGCCCATGAACAATGATGTGAAAGTTGTTATTTACAGAGCCTCAGGGTAGGCAGAGCCACCAGAGAGGGACCCAGGCAGCTGGACCCCCTGCTGGTGTCCTTGTGTCTGGGCCTCTGGCAGCTGCTGGGGACAGTAGCTACAAGCTAAGTTAATAGAGAAACTCAGAGTTTTGTTCAAAACAAGGGGTCAGCAAACTTTTTCTCTAAAGGACCTGACCATAAATATTTTGGGCTTTGTGAACCACATGGTTTCTGTCACAGCCACTCAACTCTGCCACTGTAAAACAGCCCCAGGTAATACACAAATGAATGGTGTTTCGATAAAACTTTATTTACAAAAACAGTTGCAGACCAGATTTGGTCTGTTTGCCATAATTAGTTGATTCTACCTTAAGCCATTACAAATATTTCAGAAAACCCACGTAGAATATACCTTTATAGTTATGATAAGGCCACTCCTAGGCCAATGAATTCCAACCAAATATCTCTGGCTGAGCAACTCAGGCTGCAAGGGGCCACTCATGCTGGTCTAAAGTTTGACTGGCAGCTTCTCAAAAAAGGGCAAGTTGCTGCCAGGAAAAAAGACATTCTTAATTTGGGACCACAAAGAGGTTATGTCAGAATGCTTTCAGCTCCAAGTGATAGGGAGATGCCAAAGCAAACAATCATGAGAAAAACAGGGAATTTTTTAGTTCATATAAATGGACCAGTTTCAGGCATGGCTGGATCTAGGGGCTGAAACAGTTGGGGTCTGTGTCTGTCTTCACCTGTTGTTCCTTCTTCCCTTGGTATGCTAGCTGCAGGCTTTCTCCATATGGCTGGGAGGATGGCTGCTAGCGATTGGTGATCCAAAAGGAAGAGAGGCCTGGTTTGTTAAAGCAACTGTCCCCAGTCGTTTTGGCACCAGGGACCAGTTTCGTGGAAGACAATTTTCCCACAGACTGGGACAGCTAGGGGGTCGGATAGTTTCAGGATGATTCAAGTGCATTACATTTAATGTGGACTTCATTTCTATTAGTATTACATTGTAATATGAAATGAAATAATGATACAACTCACCATAATGTAGAATCAGTGGGAGCTCTGAGTTTGTTTTTCTGCAACTAGATGGCCCCATCTTGGGGTGATGGGAGGCAGTGACATCATCAGGCATTAGATTCTCGTAAGGAGCATGCAACCTGGGTTCCTCACATGCACGTTCAGAATAGGGTTCCCGCTCCTCTGAGAATCTGATGCCGCTGCTGATCTGACAGGAGGCGGAGCTCAGGCAATAACTGGAGTGATGGGGAGCAGCTGTAAATACAGACAAAGCTTCACTTGCTCACCTGTTGCTCACTTCCTGCTGTGCAGCCCAGTTCCTAACAGGCCATGGCCTGGGGTTGGAGACCATTGTCTTAAAGAATCCTTAAACTACAGCTTGGGGAGAGATTCCGATTGGCTCTGCCTGGGTCATGGGCCTACTCTTGGACCAATTACTGTGTTTAGGAAGATGTGGTTCTGTGATTGGTGCAGTCTGGGTCACATGTCCAGCTGTGTAGCAAGCGGCTGGGAGTCCCACATAGTATTGGGCACTATGAATGCTCACTCCACTGGAACCATCAAGTGGGAGGACAATTCCCTGAAAAAGATTTAGACTGAAGAAAACAAGTTCCACGATAGTGGTGAAAAATAATAGCCCTTGGTGATAAAAAGATTAGGATTCCAGTTCTAATGATCACAAATGCACCGGGGAGCCAAGGAATTCTATGAGCACGTTGTGATAGATTTGGGGTTTGTGCATCACCCTGGCCCCTGTGGGAACTGGCAGGACACCCTGTTTTGAGCTTTGTAGGATGGAATAAGGCCCTTCCCATCTCAAGGAAGGGGGTTCAGGTGCAGGCTTGGCTACAGACTGTGACTCCCCGGCCAGAGCGGCCTGGGATCCCACCCATGAGTCCAGGGTCTATGGTGTGGGATGCACCAGAGTGGGCAGAGCCTGCTCCAGCCCTGTGACAACCTGGAGGCGGCTTGGGGTGGCCCCCACTGCCCCAGGATGCCAGAGGCTGCTGAGCCCTGTGCCAGGGGCACAAACGAGGGGGGTGACCATGGGCATCTGCATCTCAGCAGGAGGAGGACCGCTACAGACTCATGCTCAGTCGGAGCAACAGTGAAAACATCGCCAGCAACTACTTCCGGTCTAAGCGGGCCAGCCAGATCCTCAACACGGACGCCAGGAAGAGCCTCAGTGAGTATCCCTCATTCACTGAAGGGACAGTGAGGGGACAGCCCCTCCCCTGCCCCCACCCTCTCCACGTAGCTGGGAGAGGCATGAAGGGGGTAGTTTTGAAGTCAGACCTGGGTTCAGAAATTCCTTTCCCTCTCGGAGCCTCAGTTTCCTTAGCTACAAAATGAGGAGGGTAACACCAACTTCTCAGGATTAGGTGAGACGAGGTGCAGAAACGCCCAGCCCGGGGCCTGGTGTTCAATACAGAGTCTCCTCTTTGCTCCACTCCTGTCTCCCCTGGCACTCAGTGCATGGCTCAGGGGCCTGGCTGGGGATGCCTGGGTTTAGTTCTCACTAGTTACACGCCAGCTTCCTGGCAAGTCACACACCAGCATTGTGACTTCTTCCACATGAAGACTGACTTCACTTATCAAGGGCCATAAATGCAAAACACGCTTTTAAAACTTAAGCATTACTTCATTTTCTGTGCTTTTAAACTGAAAGCAAAGCCCACAGAGCTTCCAATAAAATAGCAATAAAAAGCAAATCTTGGTCAGGCAAGGTAGCTGATGGCTATAATCCCAGCACTTTGACAGGCTGAGGCGGGTGGATCACTTGAGGCCAGGAGTTCAAGACCAGCCTGGCCAACATGGGGAAACCCTGTCTACTAAAAATACAAAATTAGCCAGTCTGTAGTGGCACATGCCTGTAGTCCCAGCTACTCGGGAGGCTGAGGCAGGAGAATAGCTTGAACCCAGGAGGCAGAGGTTGCAGTGACCTGAGACTGTGCCACTGCACTCCAGCCTGGGTGACAGTGAGACTTTGTCTCAAAAAAAGAGTAAATTTTAGTTCCATATATTGAGGTTATTTAGGAGATAGAATGGGTAGAGTTGAGGAATGGGGGGGCGGGGTGGAAATAGGATTAATTGAGTGCCTGGCATTGTGCCCATGTAGCAGATGAGGAAACTGAGGCTCAGAGATGAAGCAGCTTCTCTGAGGTAATAGGAAGCAGTGGAGCTGGGCTTTGAACCCAGGCTTGCCTGGCTTGAGATCAGGCTTTGGGAAGCCCCAACTCCCAGCCCAGCCCCTTTGGATGCCAACATAGTTGCTAGGTGTCAGACCTCAGCCAGAGCAGCTTCGCAGAGCCTGGGGTCCCAGCTGCTGGGCAGGAGGGAGGGAGTGGGGTGGGCCAGGCTCCCCACCCTCCCCACTGGGGCATTTTCTCTCCGTCCCCGCTCTCCTGACTTACCAGCACCTCTGCCCCTCTTCTCCACAGCATATCACAACTCGCCACCAGGCCTCGGCTGCCCACTCAGCAACAACCCTGCCATCCCCCCTACTCAGGCCCCTGAAATGCCCCAGCCCCGGCCCTTCCGCCTCGAGTCCCTCGACATCCCTTTCACCAAGGCCAAGCGTAAGAAAAGCAAAAACAACTTTGGCAGTGAGCCTCTGTGAGCACAGCTGCCCGCTGTTGCCTGCCTTATAGGCTTCTAGAGACTGCCAGGCCCTCCCAGGGCAGCCCCAGCCAGGCCTCCCTCCCACCCCCCACACAGTGCTCTGGGGCCCGAGGGCTCCTTTAGCCCTGGGAATACACATTGCCTTCCCTGTTCCCCAGAGAGCCCACCTGTGCCTGGGGCAGGAGCCCCTTGGAGGCTGGACTGTCCTCCTTAGAGAGGCCTGCACCATGTCAGTGTTTCTGTCTGCTCACCTGCCACTGAGCCCACCAACCATGCCCACCAGTGTTGGCCTTTGCCTCAAAGCCTCGGAGCTGCTTCATGGCCTTCACCAGCCCTGATGGAGTGGGCAGCAACTGCCACGTGAAGGAAGCTCAGTATCAGCTGGGAAGGAACTGTGCCTCTGTCTGACTGGCCCCACTTCCTGAGAACTGCCTCGACCCGTGGGGTGGCACAGGGGTCCCACAGCAGCTCTTCCTGCACTGCCCACCCCTGGCTGGACTGTGGCCCAGGGAAGGCGACTCCACATTAAACTGACCAATAAACTGCTTTTAAGACAAGCTCCCCTTCTCTTACCCTCTGACAGTGTCACTTGGGGCCCCTCCCTGCCATTGTGGCCTGGCTGCCCCAGGGAAGCTCTTTCTGGAACAAGGGTCCTTTGCCTGGGACCTCCAGGGTTTCTGCAGCTCCCTACAATTGTGAGTACATTCTTCTGGGAAGAGTTTCTGGATTTTCATTAGATTCTCGAAGAATCTGTGACCCAGGAAAGCAGACCCCTCGCTGTGGAAAATAGGGCCATGTCTCCCTGAGGTCAGAAAAGGGCCCAGGTTTTGACAGTCCTGGGGGCTGTGCTGGGACTGGGTGTCCTGACATAGCCAGAAATGAAACCAGGCCACCCTGTTTGTGCCCACATAGGGGGCTACCTAGGACACAGCCCTCCCCTTGCCCACAGTATCCCAGGCCTGTCCTGTGGGGGCACCCCACTATCTAAGGGAAAAGGCTTGGCCTTTGGCACAGTCCTGGAACCTCATTTCACTCTGAGCCTCATCTGTGAAATGGGGTAACGCTCGCCTCATAGGGTTAATGTGAAGATTAAATGAGATAGTACTTAAAGCACACCTCATAGGGTTAATGTGAAGATTAAATGAGATAGGATGTAAAGCTCCTGGGGCATAGCAGGTCTCTGTGTTAGTCCTCCTCCTCCCTATTTCGTATCAGTTTCCACAAGCCATATGCCTGGGCCAAGGAGCTCACACTCTTGAGAAGCTGGGGTGGGGGTGCTTGGACAACCATAGAGATGTCTAGCCACAGGCAGGCGGCAGTGCGTCCTGAGTCAGAGCAGGTGAGATCAGGACTTTAAAAAATTATTTTTTTGAGAGAGTCTCGCTCTGTTGCCCAGGCTGGAGCACAGCTGTTCAGAGGTTTAAGATGGGGGTGTAAGGAGGGCGCTTCTGGTGGAGAGCACTGCAAAGCAAAAGGCAGGAGGTGTGGAACTCAGGGTGTTAAAGGCTGGGCCATTCCTGTTCCATGGAAGCCCTGAGCAAGGACTGAGAGGGGATGAGGCTGCTGAGATGAGTGGAGGTGGCGACCTGAGAGCGAAGAGCCCTGGGGTGTCCCTGAGCTGTGACAGACTCCTAAAAAGTTTAACACCATTGGCTCTGAATTAGAGGTGGGTCGATGTGGTACTGTGTCAAGGGTGGAAGGGCTAGTCTTGGGAGCAGGTATTAGGGTGCAGGAGCCAGGGGCCAGAGGCTTAACTTGGAGCGGAGCCAGTGGGAATGGAGAGCAAGTCGAGTCGTTAAGAAGATGCATGGAGGGAGGTTTTGATTTTTGCCCCATTCTTGGGTTGGTGGACACGTGTCAGAAAGGAACTGCTACCATCTCTCTACAATTGCTGTCACCATTGGCCTGAGGATTGTGGTTGGGACACAGAGGACAGTGGAAGCCTTGAAGCTGCGTGTGGTAGTTTTTACTTAGACCCTTGGTGGACAAAGGCAGCTCTGAGGTGACCGGGGTGGCTTCTGTATTAACGTAAAGAGTTGAGAGCCCACGTTACTGGATGGATGTTCAGTCTGGCCCGGCGCTAAGTGCTTCACAATCTGCCTTGTTCCTCCCAAGAGCCCAGAGATGAGATAATTAGATGGCTGTTCCTAAGGCATACAGATATGCAGCGGAGCTGAACCTCGTCCTTAGCCCTGTTTACAGCCAGGGAAACCGTCCTGGAGAGAAGTGCAATGCCCGAGTAACAGCTAGTGAGGGATGCAGCTTGGAAACTGAACCATTGCTAGGCCAGTCCACTGCCCATCCACAGTCTCCAGCGTGGGCCACCGAGCTGGGCAGGACCGGGCAGGCCCATCCGTGCCATGGCCCCTGGAGCCGCGAGCGGCAGGGACGAGGCTCCAAGTGCCCTGGCCCTGATCTTATTCTTCCAACCCCTCCTCCCTAGAGATGGTGGGGGTGAGGCCCAGTTTCTGGCCCCGAGCCTTCCCAGGCCCAGCGAAGATCCCGCCAGCGAGGAGATGGCTCCACACCCTGTCCAGGACGCGACGATCAAGCCTAGGGAAGACACACTTCAGCCGGAAGCGGGCTCCGGACTAGGGGCGGGAGGCCGGCCTGGGCGCCCCAAAGGGCGCTCGACCTCGTTGATTGGCCGAGGCTGCAGAGCTGTCGCTCTAGGATTGAGCCTTTTCTTTAGGGAGGCGGGGCCTTGATCCACTCCCACCAATACGGTTCAAGGTATCCGCCACCCACCAGGACACTTCCGGTGGTGCTCTCTGCTCCCTACCGTCAAAGCTCCGGCTCTGGAGGCCCAGCTCCGTCGTGTGTCTATCACTTCCGGGTGGTGCTCCACGGCCACGAGCCGCGATTGGGCTACCGTAGACGGGGTACTTCCGGTGTCCAGGTGCTGGGTTCTTTGGCAGGAGGAGGAAGATGGAGCCCAGCACCGCGGCCCGGGCTTGGGCCCACTTTTGGCTGCTGCTGCCGTTGCTTGGCGCAGTTTGCGCTAGCGGACCCCGCACCTTAGTGCTGCTGGACAACCTCAACCTGCGGGAGACTCATTCGCTTTTCTTCCGGAGTCTGAAGGGTGAGAGCGGGGTCCGAGGGGGCGGCGTGTGGGGGCCTGGGGTTGGAACGGCATTGACCACTCTCCCTCCCACTCCCTTTCCGGGAGCAGGTCGCCCAGGTCTGGCCTGCCGCTTGGGGTGCGGGTCCGCGATGTCTGCAGCAGGGGTTTCCCTTCGCATCCAATCTTCCTCAACTACCTGTGTTTTTCTTGTCCAGACCGGGGCTTTGAGCTCACATTCAAGACCGCTGATGACCCCAGCCTCTCTCTCATTAAGTATGGGGAATTCCTCTATGACAATCTCATCATTTTCTCCCCCTCGGTAGAAGGTAAGGGCTCCACGTCGCCCCTAGCACTGGGATTCGAGACCTGGGACTGATGGGTTGCTTTCTTCTGGTTCTTGGCATGTCCTGGGTCATAGGATGGGTTGCCACTCCTGAGCGCTGCTACCAGAGAAGAGGAAAATGTTAATTTCTGACCTGAGCCCAGTAGGGGCCATCTTTCTAAAAGACACAGCTAAGGATTGTGGGGTTAAGTGTTGCTGTAGACCAGGGAACCCAGGGCCCTGCTGCTCTACCGAGAAGGGAGTTTACTCTGTAAAGGGCCTGATAGAAAGATGGAAAGCTCCTGGGTTGGGTTTGCCTGGGTGGAAAAAGGAAATGGCCTGTTATTAATGTGGATTGCTATAAAGAAGCATTGTGCATTGTGGCAGTTGATCTTAAAAATTCAGATAGATTCATAGTCTCGGGCTGAAAAAAGAGGCTTAGCAATTATCTACTACCCCATCCCTCCTCCCATTTGAGGCTGGGTAGATACATCCAGCAGCCTAGAAGAGGGCTATTCAACAGAATGAATATCTTGGCCAGATTATCCAGTTTATACTTGAGTATTCCTGTTTTATGAGGCAATCCAATCCACCACTGTACAATTCTGTTAAGAAGTTCTTATATTAAACAAATATTGTCTCTTGCTTTATTTTATTCTTATGCTCTCCAGCACCTTAGATAAAAAAATCTAATGCTTGTCCGGCTTGGAGGCATAGCCTTCAAATAATCATAGCTTGTTTGGTTGTTTCTTCTCCAGACTGAACATCCCCAGCTACTTTGGCCATTTCTCTTTGGCCATACTTTTTTGATGAGCATATTAGTCATTCTCTTCTTTATTTGCTTCAGTTTATCTTTTTCTCAAAAGACACAAGTTTTCCTTGTCTGGGTAAGACAGAACCACCTTCCTCCCTTCAGTTGATGAAGCTTAGGAAGTTCTTCATTGGTGTCCTTTTTTTTTTTCTTTTTTGAGACAGAGTCTCTCTCTGTTGCCCAGGCTGGAGTGCAGTGGCACAATCTCAGCTCACTGCAACCTCCGCCTCCTGGGTTCAAGCCATTCTGTGCCTCAGCCTCCTGAGTAGCTGGGATTACAGGTGCCTGCCACCACACCTGGCTAATTTTTTTTGTATTTTCAGTAGAGACGAAGTTTCACCATCTTGGCCAGGCTGGTCTTGAACTCCTGACCTTGTGATCCACGCCTCGGCCTCCCAAAGTGTTGGGATTACGGATTACAGGCGTGAGCCACTGTGCCCAGCATTTTTTTTTTTTTTTTGAGATAGCGTCATTGCACTCTTCAGGACGAGTGCAATGGTGTGATCATGGCTCGCTGCAGCCTCCATCTCCCAGGCTCAAGTCCTCCCTCCTCAGCCTCCTGAATAACTGGGACTGAATAACTGGGATGCGGCTTCTTTATTCTCCGTAGTTCACTTGAGATTCGGTTTGCCAAATCCCTGAAGTATTTTCCTAGGTTGCTGTCACTTAACTGTGTTACTCCCAACTCCCTTGCAACATGTGCTTTTGGAATTGGCTTTTTGAAGGCAGGAGTAGTTAGGTAGATGTCACCCCAAATTGGTACAAGTTGAAAGCTTCAGATGACTGGGCAGGTGAATGGAGCCTTCAGTGCAGTAGCTGGTGTTCGCCAAGTTTTTACTGTGTTTGAAACTTTGAAATAGATACCATACAGTGGACTGGGTGAGACCTTAAGGACAGGGAGTCTGCCCTTGAGGAATTCTTTCAGTCTGTTTTTGAGGAAATAAAAATAAAGGCTTGAAATGAGTTACCAAACCCTGTGCCAGGGTGTAAGATGAAGTGGAGGCACTGTCGGCTCGTATAGGTTGGAAGGAAAGCAGCAGTGAATGAGACTGATCGGGAGAGGGCTGACAGAGGATACTGTTGGTGTGAGAAACGGCAGAGAGGGTAAAACAGTGTTTCCCAAACTTTAGTCATTTGCATACGTCCTTCATGATTTTTACCATATTATATATCTCCTGTGCTAATAACTACCTAATATTTGTCTTCAAATTGACCTGCTTTAAAAAAAAAAAAAAAAAGGCTAGGTACAATAGCTTATCCCTGTAATCCCATCACTTTGGGAGGCCAAGGCAGAAGAATTGCTTGAGTCCAGGAGTTTGAGACCAGCCTGGGCAACATAGTGAAACCTCGTCTGTAC